ACAGCAGATGCGCCAGTGTGTAGAGACAATCCCGCCAGCACGCGAGGGCGCCAGCTTCTCCACATCCTCGCCCACACTTGCTGTTGTCTGTGTTTTTGTTTTGTTTTGTTTTAGTCGTGACTAGGGAGTCATCACTAGCTAGTTAGGCGGCCTGTTTCCCGACTGAGTACCGTTTTCTCCAATCAGGTCTGATTATTCACAATACTTCCTGCCCTTGCTTCTCAGGCGCAACTTTTCTTACCTAGGTTGGCCTCGTTCTCTGTCCTTCTCCTTCGTTACTCAGTTCTTGTTCTTTTTCTGCCGTGTTCTGGGGAGGCGTTTCTGCTCGGCCAGCCGCACTGGCCTCAGTCCTGTCCTTTCCGTTGCCGACACCATTCACTCTGCTTCAAGTGGCGAGTTCCCTACAATTTTCTCTGTTCCAGTGCGTTGTTCTTTGCTGCAGCCTGGCTTCCCCTGATGTCTTTCCGGGTCCTTTCTCTAGAGGCAGAGGCAGGTCTTATGTGTTTTTGAAGACTGACTGCTTTCTGGAACTTTCCCTGGGGCACTGAGTGAGCGCTTCCTGGGCTTCGGGGCTGCTTCTTCTGCCCGTGGCATCGTGGCCGAGGCTCTTGGCTGACGCCTCAGATGTCCGGGTTGAGGTTTCACCAACAGAGAATGGCTGCTCCTTGTCCTTCGCCCCTTCATGACCGCTTTGATGGAGGGGACCCCTGTTTAGGTCTGCGGGGACGACAGGGGACATGCAGCCTGTCACTGGGTTTTCTCTGTGGAGGCCTCGGCGAGTCTGGCTCTGTGCAGCCCCAGAATTCTTCTCACTCGCATTGACCAGTGACCTGCAATGACAACCCGGGGTCGCAGACTCGTGACCTTGTTCCTTCGGCCCACACAATGTCTGATAGTTGTCATCTCAGTGCCTTACACGGGGACACAGGTGCTCCGGTTCGCCTCGGTGCCTGCCCCTCCCTGTTGTCTCACCCCCAGCCCGCTCCCCTCGTTCACAGGTGCTGCCGGGAGCGCGAGTGTGGCAGCCGCTGCGTCTGATGAGAGGGCACGGCACGCACGACCCTCAGTGCACGCGTCACGGGGCTCGGCCTCGGTGGGTCCCGCCTCAGCCCTTCGATTCTCAGGGTGCTCCCTGCAGACGCAGGGATGTTCATTCACCTGCCAGCCATGTATATGTCCTGGCCCTTGCCACGGGCCTCCACTGTGCTTGGGGCTGTGACTGTCACACAGAACATGACACAGGGGAGCTGTCTTCTCTCTGAGGCCGAGTAAAGGGAGTTATCAGTGTTTTGCCCCACGTGGTGGTAGCAGCGTGACACAGTTGTTTCTTTATCTTCATCTCGATGTTCTGACTCTTCTCCCAGTTACCGAGGGTTTAATCACAGTGGTCGGTCTCTCTTCCTGTAAGATGCTCTGATCAGACAATCAGATCAACAGGGCTGGTGCAAAAACAAGAAGAAAACCCCTTACTATTTTGCTTTGTAAGTAAAAACCAGCTCAGATGCAAGATTATTTGAAGTAAAACAATTTTCGGTGGCATGCATGCTTAGGACCAGTTTTAGCTGGGAATCTCCTGGCAGTTGGACGAGCTAGCACAAAGCCGTTAGGTTGGTCTCAGTTTTACAATACGAGCCTTCTTCATTTACGAGCCACCAGGTTCTCTGGATGCTTCTTTGCCACTAGGGCACTGGCTGGGGAGCAGATGTCCCCAGGATTGGGCTTCTCAGCCACTGGAAGAATCTTGACGTACTGGTCAGTTTCCCGCCTCTCCACTGAGTGGTGGAAATACACTGAGCAGCTCCCGGGATATCCCGCTGACTTCTTGGAGCACAGAGCGTGGCTGGCTTAGCCACCTTCCGATGCAAGTAACCGGATGCAGAGTAAGAATGGATCCAGCAGGACTGTTTGGCTCACTGCCTGATGAGTGTAAGAGGTCGAACCCTTAAGGGTTTCCATTCATCGTACTGTTGAACGTGCATGTGCACGGCTCTGCAAAGTGCTTTTCACCGGCATCTCTCATTCGCTTGTGTAATGACAGCAGCAGCAAACTCCGGCTATGGAAATGGTGGCGGGCACCGCTGGGCATGTGCTGAGAGTTTCCACGTACCAGAGCCGTGGCTATGATTCCGGGGCCACGATTCCGGGGCCCTCGTGCAGTTCGTGGGCAGGTCAGACCCTGAGGGCACCCAGTCTCCCGACTCACTCTCCTCTGTTCCCTCTGCCACCTAGTTTTCACTTTTCAAGATACACTGACGGACTTGAAAAGTCCTTAGGGAGCAAGTCATGCCTCTGTTTGAGAAATATAAGTGCATTAACCTCTTGCTGAGCTCAGGAAATGTGCCCCGAAGCTCTTGTCATCTGATTCCAGCACTCGTCTGGGAAGAGCTAAGGAAGGCTGGCCTTGGTCGCTGAGTGGGGCTCCCCCGTGAGGGCCCGGATGGGCGCAGAGCCGCGGTGCGGTCTGCGCAGCCGCCTTAGGTGGTGAGAGTGGTGAGGGCCTCCTGTTAAAATCCGGGGCGGGTGTGCACAGGGAACCCCGCTGCAAGGTGTCGAGGGGTCACCACTCACAAAATGGCTGCCCCCGCGTGAATAAGTGGTTGTAGAGATGCAGCTGGACTCCATCTCGTTCTCGCAGAAAACAAACTCACAGGCAAGGGGCTGGTGGTCACACGGTCCAGGACTGTGGTCCTTTCCCCTCCATCCTTTCATCACGGGGGAGCCTGGGAGGCCAGTGAGTTTGTGGCCACGTGTCTCCGGCCAAATTGTTCCCCCTGGAACCTTGCAAGTGATGGTTAGAAGGTTCCATTAGATGGCTAGCCCAAGGTGACTAGTTAGATGGTTGTGTTAGACACTAGCACTAGGTGACTAGTTAGTTACGTTAGACTCTAGTCCGAGGTGACTAGCATTTAATTTGCCTGCCTCCCGTTCTAGGTTCAGAAGGCAGGGCTAGAGTAATCATTTGTGACGGTGGTTTCCTTGGGTGGTTTCCTCGCCTTCCTCTTTCCACTCCCCTTCACTGTTTTTCATTTTTTGTGACTGTGAGTTTGTGTGTGTTCGCTTCTCAATGGCAGCCCATGACTGGCCAGCTCAGGGACTGCAGAGGGGGCCACCGACCGGTTGGTGCTGAATTCTGGGCTGTTTCCCAGTGCAAGGCCTCACCTGGTCCCCTGCCCTGTCTCACATTGTGATGTGTTTGGTCCCAGGGTGACCACCTGGAGAGTGTGAGAGCGTGGTTAGCCGGGACGGGTCGCCACTACGAGGAAGGGACCCCTGGCAGTGAAGTGTGTTTATCAGAGGGAGGCTCCAGGCCGCCGTTGATTCTGCTGTCCTACCCGCCTGGCCCGATGGTTAGACCTCATCCTGCTTCTAGGGACGAAGGAGGCCCCCTCAGAAACAGAACAGTCCTGCTCACCTCTCCAAACTTCCCCGGGTCGGGACCTTGTGCTTGACCTCGCGGGCCAGAGGGGAACATCTGCTGAGACACCGAGTTGTCCTTCAGGTGTTTTCTGTTGGCTCAGTAGATCAGATGCTCACGCTTCTGAGTCTGTGGCTGCCAGCTTCCCTCATCGCCCCGGGGACTGGTGCGGTGAACAGTTTATGCACTTCCGGCTCTGCGTGGGGGTGACTGATTACCACGATTTATAGACGCTGCTGCGAGATCTCTGGTCCCAGTCACTCAGTGTGGGAAAGAGTGGTTCACGCAGCAGCCAGAGGACGGAGTAGCTTCGGACCAGGGGAAGGGGAGAAAGCTGGTTCGTGTCTCCGACAACACCTGGAGCTACGCAGCGTAAAGACAGGACTTGTTTTAGTTAAAACCCGTGCAGTGGAGTGTATTTGTGAATTTACTTACAGTAACAGCATTTATAAGCCTCGACTTAAAAAAATCCCCTGGTGTTCGCATGTAACTTCAAAGAACCTAAAGGAGAACCACCCTCAGTAAATACTTGATAGGTGAGAACCACCGTAAGTGGACGTTTCCATGTTTCTTAAATAACCAAGGAATTGATGAGTTTTATGGCCCATTATTTTAAGGGTGGGAACAACTGACAACTTCCGTACATTTACCCTTTTACCTCCTGTCGAAGGTGACGGCCTCCTGAGGCCATTGAAGGGGCTACCTTTCCGACGTTCTGAGAGGTCAAGGGTGCTTTCTCCAGAAATTTGGAAACCGTCCAGAGTAAAACACGCTTGGGCAGGAGTGCCAGGCAGGGCACACACAGAGCGCCCCCTGCTGCCCACTGTGTGACTAAGACGGAAGGAAGGGGCCGGACCCGGGGAGCCCCTGCCCGACCAGCTGCCCGAGAAGCCATTTCCCATCTCTCCTGTGCTCCACCAGGACCCACGCTCCCCAAAATCTCCATGGAAGCATGTGGGCCCCCATTTCCAGACTTCATGTCCTTCCAGAACCTTCTCTGGTGGTTCTTGGTAAAGGTTATAGTTAACACAGCCTCACCCTAAACTAAGCTAAGGATGATCTGAGCAAACAGGCAGCGTTGAAAACTTTTTTGTAGCTTCTCCTTCATGCCATTGCTTCCCACCATAAACACGATCAATTGTTATTTTTTATTTTATTTTAAAAAATTAAATGTTATTTGGTAGTAACAGCATATAAATTTCAGGTATAAAACTTCATAATATGACCTCTGTATACTCAATTAAACATATTATTTCGATGGCAGTTTTGGTTCTCCTTGTATATTTATTCAGCAAACATTAAGCATTACCGTGTGTTGGGCACATGCATAGGTTAAGGCGTGTATATTACATGTACATGTAACACATAAGGTAAGAGGTACCCATGCAGGGATTCCCCACTTTGCTGCTAACTAGTCGAATCCCTTAACCCCTCTGGGAAACCTGCAAAGCTAGGGGTGGGGCCAGGAATTTGAGCTCCGAGGTCCTTTGCAAGACTGGTCTTGTGGGACACTCTCCCCGTGGCTGTGATGGGTCCCGCCCGGCACGCCCCCCCCCAGCTGATGCTTCCTTCTGTTGCTTTTCAGAAACTCGAGAAAAAAAACTGGAGAATGGTTCTTTGAGGAACGAGCCAAGAAATTTCCAACTGAAGGTAAGTGCTGTCAACATCTTTACTAAATTAAAATGACGTATTTCTAGTATTAAAATATTTGGCTTAAAACTTTGGGCTATAAACAACTTTCCGGGGCGAGGGAGACAGGTCTCCGGCTCCCGTCCACCCGGCCCACTTGTTCTCAGTTTCCCCTGCTGTTCCCACCTTGGAGGGTAGCATTCCCCCACCTAACCCCCCTCCCCTTTCCCCGATGCCCTGCTTCTGGGAGCGATGTCTCCCGCCCCTGAGATACCAGCAGCTCTGGTCCGCATGCCCCCGAATCGTCGGAGGTGCCGTAGATGACGCCATTATTTGCGTGATTCTTTCCCCTTCTCTCCACGGGCAGAACCTGTGCTTCAAAACCCAGTGAGCCCCTTCCAGTGCTGCACAAGTATCATCAAATTTATTTCGGAGGGGGGGGGTGCAGTGGATAGGTGGTGTGGGGGGCGCACCAGCACAGCCCCTTGTTCCGAACGCCTGACCAGAGTAATCGCCTGGGCAGCCCAAGGCCCCAGCACGTGGATAGCATTAGAACTGAGCAGATTGTGAAGTGACATGTCACGATTATGTGAGTGGAAGGGTGAGTCTGGCCTGGGGCCAGGAATATCCCATAAAACATTCACACCGTCGACACAACGGTGTGATCAGTAGCTGGGCCTTGGAACAGTGGGGAGAACTAATGGTGCCGTGGCTATGGAGGTGCCGTGACAGAGGACGTGTGCCGTGCAGGTATGAGAGTAACTGATTAAAGGTGCACACACGTGCCGTGAAAATAAAGTGGGGCCAGCGTGCTCTGCAGACTGCGTCCAGCTATGGGGGTAACACGGGCGGGTGCGCCCCAGTGATGTGCGCCCGCGGAGACTGCACTCGGGAGCCTGCGCTGCCCTGGAGGGAATGGGGCTGCTGGAAAGGCGTCCTCCCCGACCCACCAGAAAAGTGATGGTTTGAGGTAGAGAAGTAAGGCATTTTATATCAACCAAAGTGTGTCAAGTACAGGCAGCCCTGGCTTGAGTGTGGACGCTCGGCCTTTATAAAAGGTGCTGTGAACGGAGGCTTGCATTCAGTTGTCACAAAATCCTCCCTGATTCTGTTCCTGACTCTTCTCACTCAAGACAAAAGGGTGCGTCTGCCCGGTTTACCGGAAATCCTTAGGAAAACACAGCGCTCACTCACAGGGCTGCTCCGGAGAGAGGGCGAGGTGAGTGTCATAGCTCCTGCAGATGGTTCTCCCCAGCCCTTCCCCGGCTCCTGTCCCCTCTCAGGGGTGGGCTAGATGGGCTGTCAGCCCATGTAGCGCACAGCCGGCCAGGCGGAGCCATGGCCCAGGGGTCACCTCTCAGATTGGGGGTGTTGCCTCGTTTCTTTAAATCGTGTTTGCTGGGGGGCTGGTGTCTTCGGGTGGTGGGTAGACCCTCATTTCTCTCACTTGGTTCTAGTTCACAAACAATAAAGCTGTAGCGAGTGAAATTTCTGTGATTTCGCCCAGTTTTATAGAGAAATACCCAAGTGTAATATTTACATCTCTGAGTAGCGGGTGCACGATATTCCGTAGTGCGTGGGGCACACTCAACGCACATCTGCCTTTCTCACAAATGACGTTTGTCACTAAGTGTTTTGTGATTTCTGTGATTGTCTTTATTGTCTATTTGGGGTTTTGTCCTTTTGTTTATTTTTAAATCTTCATTGTATTTTTTTCTGTAATTTCTCAATACCAATGCTGTGAAGGCATCTCCTGGATGTTTTTAAAAATACATTTTTTGGAAGTTTTAGTATCATTACTTCAATTTATTAAATTACTATGCAGACCAGAACTTGTGTGTATGTGTGCACATATGTGTGCTCCCATGTGCTCTGTTGTGCATGTGCTTGTGCTGTGTACATGTGTGCTCCGGTGTGCACGTGCTATGTGCACCGATGTATGTGCTGTGTTAGCGTGTGCACTCCAGTGGGTGCATGGTGTGTGCCCCTACATGTACCCCGTGTGTGAATGTGTGTGCTGCATGCACCCCTGTTCACATGTGACATGTGTGCTGCACACACGCACGTGTGCGGTGTGCACTCCTTTGCGTGTGTGGTATGTGCACTCCCGCGTGTACTGTGTTTACAAACGTGCATGTGTGCACACCCCTATGTGTGTGTGGTGTGTGCGCTCCTGTGTACATACACTGTGTGCATGCGTGTGCATGCTCTCAGGCACTGGTCAGCCCTGCCCTGCCGGCACACTTCCTTCCCTGAGTGGAAGAAGCGGCGCCAGGGGGCTTGCCTGAGACAAGTGGGGGAGTAGAAAAGAGGTGAGACCGACCTCCTCTCTTTCTCCTCCCGTGACTTTCCACAAAACTGAACACATCGCGATTGTGAAAAACGAAAAGAAAAACGAAATTCGAACAGTGAAACTCAGCTAAAACACAAATCGTTTTGTTTCATTGTTTCTTCCAAGGGGTAAAGCAAACGGACAACAAAGAAACAAACAAATCCTGCCTCCTCTGCCGTGTTTCACAAATGCCGAGGAGTCTCGTTTTCCTGTTGTTGGATTTTAGTCGAGTTGGGCTGGGAAGGCATGAGAGACGAGGAGAAGCAGGGTCCTGGGTGGCACTGTGAGCCAGACCACAGGCGCGTGTGGGAGAGGCCATCAGGGCGGGGTGATCAAGGCCCTCCTGCACAGGCGGGGGCCCCTGACTTGCGTCTGTGCCCCTCAAACGGAACCTGGCTCAGTCACTGGCCTGCTGAACTGAGTTTGTTCGTGTTCTGTATCCACTGAGGGCCAGTTAGGAAAACAGAAACCGGGCGGTGATTTAAACAAAGAATGTCATTCAGGAATTGGTCAAACGGGTATCATCAGAGGACTGGAAAGGCAAAAAGGGAGCCAGGGATGGTAATGGCAGGGAGCAGGCGGCACCCAGGGCACCGTCAACGGGAACGGCAGGCTCCGCCCGTCTTCCGCCTCCCGACTCCCCATCTCCCACCCATGGGCCCTAAGAGGGAGCCAGCTACAACCGTGGATCTCTGCCACCTTCTAGAACATTTGTGATCTGCGTGGCGCCTAGTGTTTTTGTCGTGATTGTGTGTGCACGGCTCTGTTCAGCCCTCTGCATCCCAAGTGGAGGTGAACGGAAGATGATGTTTAGGCCACGGAGGCTTCCAGGCAGCTCACATCTGTGCTTCCTTCTGGGCCTTAGTTCCCTGGGGCCGGACAGCAAATTCCTCCCAAACGGGGGGTGGCTTCAACCAACACTATTATTTCACAGAGTCGTCGTCTGCAGCTGATGCCGTCTGGGGCGGCAGGGGCGGCTTGGTCAGGGGCTCCCGGGCACACCTGGCCAGTTGGCACCGTGGGTGGGAGGCGGATCGCTGCACACCTGGACCGCCGGCAGGGGTTCTGAGCGGCCCCCAGGACTGGGCGCTGGCCTCCACCCCATGGCCCTGGGGAGACGGAGACAGAGCCCTGCAGCACCTTAAACATTGTTTTTGTTGTGGCAAAATATACATAACGTTCAGTGTCCCATTTTAGCATCTTTAGGTGTGCAGTTCAACTGCGGTAAGTACGCTCACACTGTTGTTCGTCCATCACTGCCGCCTCCAGAACTCGTTCTCTTCCCCAGCTGAACCCCTGCTCCCGTGAAGCAGTGACTCCTGCCCCAGCCCGCCTCCCCAGAGTCCCCGGTAACCTCCGTTCTACCTCGTGTTTTCTGTCTCTACCTACGTGTCTTTGCCGGCCTGGCCTCAGAAGTCACACCTGTCCTTTCTGCTCCACCCTGCGGCTACTCAGCAGGGCTCTGCGGGTGGGAGGGGACGGTGCTGGTGTGAATGCCAGGAGGCGAGAACCATTGATTGTGTTTGTGATCAGACTATCGGTTTCTGCTTGCTTTTATTTTATTTTTGTTAAAGATTTTATTTATTTTTAGAGAAAGGGGAAGGGAGAAAGTGAAGGAGAGAAACATCAATGTGTGGTTGCCTCTCGAGCGCCCCCTACTGGGGACCTGGTCCATAACCCAGGCATGTGCCTGACTGGGAATCTAACCAGTCCGGTGCTCAACCCACTGAGCCACACCAGCCAGGGCTCTGGCTTGCTTTTAAAATTAAGTTTAGCATAAACATTTGCCTGTGCTATTAAGACTTCTTCCAACGTATGTTGACGACACATCAGATACGGCAGGGGGTTGTATTCAGGCTTTCACGTCACAGGTAGCTCTGTGGCGGACATCTTGGCACCTCTGTCTCTTTCCTTCGGGCAGCTTCTTAGAAGAAGCAGGAGTGGTCAAAGGTGTGAACACTTGAAAGGCTTTCACACGTTTGCCCGCTGCCCCTGGGAAGCGTGCCCATCGGCACTACCCCGTGGGGTGTTTGGACCACCCTCTCGCCACACGCTGGCCCCAGGAAGGCCTATCCCTTCAGACACAATTTCCGATGACGTTCGTGATTTCGTTCTGAATGTAAAGTAGTACATATTCACTTAAAAAAGTGAAACATGAAGAAAAACATTACAAGTAATGTTAAAAACACAGTGGCTTTGCCCTGAGGGTTACTGTTAATAATTGGTTGTATATCACTTCTGTTCTTCAGTGAGTATTTGTATCTACGTTTGTGAGTGAACATGTACATTTTTTAGGTAAAAAATGAAGAACAGAGGAAATTTTATGGGAGTCAGACTCATATGTCTGCATAATTGGGATCAAATTCTATATACAAACCTATATTCTGGTATTTCTTCACATAATAACTTATAAAGAGCATCTTCCCCATCCTTTTTAAAATAGTATTTCATTGTTTATGCTATTACAGTTGTCCTGATTTTTGCCCTATTGGCCCCTCCACCCAGCACCCCCCACTCCCTCAGGCCATCCCCACACCATTGTTCACGTCCATGGGTCATACGTGTAAGTTCTTTGGCTGCTCCATTCCCTGTACCGTACTTTACATCCCCGTGGCTATTCTGTCACTACCTATTTGTACTTCATATCCCCTCAGCTCTTCACCCATCCCCCACACCACCCTCCTGTCTG